AGGAGTGGTTTCACTGTAGGAGACGGAGTGAGTGATACGGATCCAGAGATTAGAGAAGGTGTCCCCTCCTTGCAGACTTGGTTTCAAGTAATGAAGCTTGAGAAAAGAATGAGTGTGAGCTATGAGACTGGACTGTCTCAGCTGGGAAGGAAAGAGGTTGTAAAAACATCTATTACAGTAAGAACCTGGATTGCGAGTAACATGGTTTGCGAGTGTTGAGTGTTCCACAAGACGAGCAAACATTTCTAATACATTTTAATGTGGTAAATGTGCAGTGTCTTGCAATGCAAGTAGTTTGTTTCTAGAACGAATTATGCTCACAAGCCAAGGCATTACTGTATAAGTATACTTATAACATACTAACATACCCTTTTCTTAGCAGGCTGTTTTGAACCCACTAGAAGCTGACCAGCAATTTTTGTTGTTGTTGTTGTTGATACATATTCTTCCAGTACTCCATTTAGCTTGAATATCTTTGTCCTCCTCAGGAGTGCTGGTGTTGCATTTTCAATATTTCAGGCACTGCAGAGATCCCGGCATGTGTGTGTATGTATGACTGTGTAATGGTCTTTAGTTAAGGCATCCTGAAAACTGTGCATTTTCAATAGAGATGGAAGTGTATCCCAGGCAATGTAAATCGCATTACCTTGCTGTGGGTATGCCAGCGCTTGTGCGACATCTCCAAATGTCCACATGGTTTCAGCTCCTGTAAACAGCCACAGTTGACAAAGCAGAACTCATCCAGATTTCCCTGCTAATTCTGTAAAAGCAAAAAGGAAGAGTTGCTAGTGAGTCAGCTGCCTTGGCTAACAAACATAAACATAAATAGCTTTTTAATCCCAGAAAATTAACTTGCAAGTTAATCTCTCTTTTGTTTTGCTTAGCAGTGTTCCCTCAACTTCCTATAGGTTATACATTTTTTTAATGTCACAAAGCATTTGAAGAGAGCAATTCTCATACATATCATCCCTTTAAAAAATCAAGCGTGGGCAATCGTTGCATCGGATAAGAACAACAGATGGCTATTTGGAGGACAGAGGGGCTTTCACTCAAAGATATTCTAGTTTTGGTTAAGTTGTCAAAATGTTATTTTTAGAGCCTTTCTGGCTAGAATATCTGTGTATTCATAATTTTGCCAGGTGAATGTGTTTTAACTCTTTTAAATTACAGTAGTGATATATGCTCATTATTACAAGTTAAATTATTTAAGAAGCTTCCAAAAATGGTTAATATTCTCCTTGTTCTCTCACATTCCCACCTAAGAGTTTTATTTTTATAAACTTGAAATCACATTATACTCATTACTTTTTCCCCCCTTTCCTCCCAATACTGTAAATATTACTTTTTAAACATGCTTTATTTCACAACATGTCATGGACACATCTCCATAGGTAAATCTAACTGGATTTGGCACATTGTTTACAATAGCTGTATAATGTTCCTTAATATTATATATACAGCTCATACAGCCATTTTTTTCCTTGTGAACTTTCAGATTATTTCCAATGCTTCAGTGAAGCTTCTTGCCAGGGAATTTTAAAGGAGCCCAGTCAAGAATCACCCGGTGGGTTCAAATGTTCCTGCCAGCGATCTCTAAAATCACCTATACATTCTGTCAGGAAGATCAGATGACCTTACACTATAGAAAGCTTTCTCTCCCCACAGCCCTGGGGGGCCGGGCTGAGTGAATTGTCCCTCTTGTGGTGGAGCATGACACCCTGGTCACTCAGCATCAGTGTAGGCTCTGAAAGGAAGACGGTGCCCAGGGAGAGCTGGAAATGACCAAGTAAAGCTCCAGAGCAAAGCAGCTTGTTGCTTGGCCCCCACATATCCAGTCCTGTTTATCATCTTAAAGTGGTAGTTAATGAGTCTAACTGACAAACTTTTAGTTTTGTGATGAGCTTGTTTACTAACACCAATCGATAGAAAAGTACTAATTTAGAAAATCTATGCCTGAAATAATAATATAAAGGCAAAAACAAAAACTTCCAAAATAGCAGCCAGCAGCAAAGAAACCTTGAAATAAATGTGGAGCCCAGGTTTCCTTCTTCCATGTCAATGGCCTACTCTGTAGGCCGCCTTTTGGAAGTTTTCTTTCAATATCCAAATGCTCATCTACTATTTCTTTAACATATCCCGTCTTGCTAAAAAGGTTGACTCATTTTATTTAACAGAAAATATATAGCATTTAATTATCTTAATATTTTTATATCTATTGTAATCTTCAACTTTAACATTTTGGACTATCAGGCCAGTCATCATCAAGGTATTCATGGAGCTGCTGCTCCACGCTTAGCATAGTTAATGGATCTGTAGTTACACAGGAAGCTGCTTCACAGAAATCAACACTTGATCATGGCCGTGACTTCTGATGTGATATTAATCGGCTGAGGACAGAGTGGAGGCCTGCAAGTGGGGACTGTTTCCAAACAGTGTCAGGTACTTCTCAGAAGCTGGAGATCTCACAAGTAGAGAAGGCATCTCTAATAGAAATTCATGTATCATGGGGGTGCCCACAACATAACCAAACATTCATATATATATATATATATATATATATATATATATATATATATATATAATATGTATAATACATTATATATATAATTGGGTTGTCAGAAAAGTCATGACGTATTTTTTCTGTTTTTTATTGCAAAAATGCGTCATGACTTTTCCGACAACCCAATATATATAATGATTATGTATAATATATCATGTGTGTGTATATATATTTTCTCCCTTATTTAAAAAGTAATGAAGGACGGAATCTAAACTATCTGTTGTATGGTTGTCTATACATATCACAGAAATTTGGAAAGTTAATTTTGTGGTAACCCAGGTCCCTTGCTTTCACAGTGAGCTGAGACTGGATTTGCATCCTTGCGTACTAGATGGGCAGCTGTACGACTTTGATCCAGTCACTTAACCTCCTTGAGCCCTGGCTTCCATATCCATATAGTGAGGGTTTTTTTCTCACTACATCGTAGGATTACTGGGTAGTTTAAATGAGAGAATAGATATGAAAATGTACTTGCAGTGTTGAATAAATGCTGGTTCCCTCTTAGAAAACTCAAGAGGTCTTCCAGTAGGAATATATGTCTTGTTAGGATTAAAGGGAATACATAGGAGAGTGGTAGAATGAATAAAACTTAATGAGACATGAACAATGATGCCAATAACCAAACATATGATTTTATAGTTACAAAGAGTTCCTATATCCTTTATGTCATTAGTTCTTCACAAGAATCCTGTGAATCAGTCAGACTATGTTTTATACATATTATGGAAGGCAGGAACTGTGACTCAGAGAAATTAAATGGATTAATCAATATCACCTTGCAAGCCTGTATTGGGTTTTTTTTTAGAGTAGTCCAGTGCTCTTTACATTACCCTATGCTGTCTATCAATGCCAGATAGTTGGCCAATACTAAACAGTTAGAAGTCTAATTGATTCCAAAAGTGTGTCTGAAAATCTAGCATTGTTCTCAAATATTCCATGATTCCTGGAAAGATGAAAATATCTGGGGAAGTAGCCTAGACGACTCCTGAGGCCCATACTAAGCTCAGCGTGCATGTCTTGGGTGCTATGGACCAAAAGAGTTGCATTTCTAATACCAAATGTACCATATTTTGCTTCATTTTTAGCATTTCATAAATGAAGTTAACCGATTGGAAAGGACTCCCTTCCAACGACAGTGAAAAGTTTGGTTTGCTTTGTGTAGGCCAAGGTGCACATCCAGAGTGTGCCCCCCAAAAATGTATACACATATTAAGAAAGGAAAAAACTGTATTAAAATTATAATACAATGAATGGTGCTAGCATTCATTTGATTAACACCATCTTTGAGCGAACGTCATACTGCACATTGCTACCATAATTCAACTCAACTTCAAAAAGTAATACATAGATAACATCTCTTAATATGTATGCATTTTTTTGGCACCCCCGGTATTTCTGCTTTCGAGCACCACTGGTGATGATTTTCTCCACCCTTTGGTTGATACTCAGCACATTCAGGGTTATGGTGTTATCTATCCTTATGTATTCCTCCTTTCTCCCCTTCGGAAGTACAAGTCCCCTAAAAACAGAGAGTATGTCATTCCTCGGTGCGCTCATTGCCCAGCTGAGAGCCTAACGCTTACTAGGTTCTCAAGAAATGCTGCTCTTGCTCCTGCTGCTTTTGAGATACTATTCAGTGTTGACTTCTTAGGTAAGATTTCATTAGACAGCATCATATGAAAGACGGTTAGTTTTAGAATAAGCAACATCTGCTACCTCTCTCCTTGCATAGTAAATGATCTCTTGAGAATCCTTTAATAGAGACAGACAATTGCTAGGAAGATAAAGGATGCTTAGGAAAGCTTACTATGCCCACTTGAAGGCCAGAAAAGGTGAAACAGGTCCTACTCTCCCCAAGATGAACATGCCGTATTGAAAATTAGATCTGAGACGAGAATAGATAGAAATAAATAGCCATCACTGAGGGGAAAAGCCTTTGAGATAAAGTTGAATTTCTTATTTCTAAAGAGTAGGACCAGTGTGATTTGTTTTGTCCCTACAAATTATAGTGATTTGGTTTCAGCCTGAACAACTAAAACAAGAAAATACTGGCAGGCAGAGAGTCTCTACAGGAGTGGCCAAACAAGTCAGTTTTCATTTCCTTCCAAGCTGTCATTTGGCTGATCCGTCCATAGAAAAGCAGAACAAAAGGCAAGAGATTACTGCACCCTAAAGCGCCCAAGTGGCTCTTTTGGCTCAAGGGCTATTTATGGCAACCTGGCCGACACTGAGAACTTCCTGTTTTATTCAGTGAAGAAAGTGTGAATTAGTAAAGGGAAGCCCCAGGACAGTAACAGTAGACATAGATGCAGGGTGTGATCAATGATTAGATCCTCATGCCTGTTGTGTTTTTGATGAAGCCATGCCTTTCAGCAACCATTGTGAGCATTTACCTCAGAATAGATGTATCCTCTTCTTCATGTGCACATTCTACTTGTAGATGTTGCTATGAGGATAGATTCATCAGAAATGACTGATGTGGAGCCTGTGGTCAACAATTTTGCATCTTCAGCAAGGACAGGCCGCCGGAATGCCGTCCCAGACATCCAAAGTTCAGCGGTGACGGGCGGAACTTCAGAGTTGCCCCTCAAACTGGAGGCCCTCTCCATCAAGGAAGGTAACAGTGAACTTCTTCTCAAGTCAGCAGCACAAGTCAGTCTCTGTTCCTAACCAACCCTTTCCTGAGGAACAGCCTCCCTTTTAGCTGGTTAGCAGGGCTCTTTTGTTCTTATGGTTTACTAAAACCTCTCAGCTTTTATTTAGGACTAAGTAGAGTTTTCAGGCTTTCTCAAAGTGGGACAATTTCATCTTTTTATGTCATGGTGTGTGCATGGAAACTGAATGTTTATTTATTCATTGTATATGTATAGTCATGCACAGTGCCAGTGATTGAGAATAAAAGGTGAACAAATACAGTTTCTTCCCTCAATGAGTTTACAAAATTTATTGAGAAGTACTCAGAAATAAAATAATTTCCTTTCTGCCACCCACTCACAAATCTCTTCAGAAGCTTCTGCTTCGCTGCAGTATTCTATGAGCCTAGTTTATTATCAACTAGACAGGGGCTCTTTAAGGTGAATATTTATATAAAAGCTGATCATCCTTCAACCAGTAGAAAGTTGAATTTAAAAAAAAAAAAGGAGAGCTGTCAAACCAATGAAGGAAAATCTTGGGTCTTTCTCCCCATTTCTTACATACAGTTCATATAGCTTCCAGAGTTTAGTCTTGTGAAAATAAATATAGTGATAATTTCAATAAAGTTTAAAAGAGTCCCTTCATTTAAAAACATTCATAGGGGTTAAATATAATTTCAGTTCCAAGTCATTACTAAAATACTTGTGCCTTGTGCCCCATTTTAGATGTCAAGGTGGACTCCATTGTGTGTGTAGAAATTTATTCCTGTTGTCAATGAGGCAATAGAGAGCTAGAAGCTTCTGCACATTTACCACATTCATGCAAGCCCCAGAAGAGGGCCCTTGGTTCTTCGCCTCAGGAGGTTATTTGCTACCCAGTAAAGTTACAAATGTTCCTGGTTTGATCCCTCTGAAATACATGCATCCTTGTTAGGCCAGGGACTGTGGTCAGATCCTGAAGTCCCATGGTTACCTCACATTTTTCCAAAGGTCATCGCATTTCTCATATGGGACACTACAGGTAAAAGTAAAGAGATATACACATAGATTATTATATGATGAAAGGAAAGATGGAAGAAACAAAAAGAAAAGAAAAATATGTGTAATGTTTTTTGGCTTTTAAGTTTGAAAATGCCTTATAGTAACCCCCTGTTATCTGCAGGGAATATGTTCCAAAAATCCCCAGTGGATTCCTGAAATCGCAGATAGTACCTAACCCTATATACCAAGGGTGCCAAAAAAAAGTACAGATTTTAAGAGGTGTTATCTATGTATTATTTTTTGAAGTTGAATTGAATTACGGTGGCAATGTGTAGAATGATGTTCGCTCAAAAGATGGTATTAATCAAATGAATGCTAGCATTATTCATTGTATTATAATTTTAATACAACTCTTTCCTTTCTTAAAATGTGTATACTTTTTTTTGGCACCCTCTGTATCTATTATGTTTTTTCCTATACATACATACCTATGATAAAGTTTAATTTATTATTTAGGCACAGTAAGATATTAACCACAGTAATTTAATAAAATAGAACAATTCCAACAGTATACAGTTATAAAAGTTATGTGAGTGGCTTTGGGGCTATTTTAAGTAAAATAAGCGTTACTTGACCACAGCACTGTGATACTGCAAGGGTTGACCTGATAACCGAGGTGGCTACTACATAACGAATGGGCGGGAGCTTGTACTGTGTGGAGATGCTGGGCAAAGGGATGATTTACATCCCAAGTGGAATGGAGCGGGACGGCATGAGATGTCATCACGCTGCTCAGAACAACGCGCACTTTAAAACTTATGAATTGTTTATATCTGGAATTGTCCACTTAATATTTTTGGATTGTGGTCAACTGTGGGCAACTAAAATTGCAGAAAGCAAAACCACAGATAAGGGGGGGACTAGGGTATAGTTACCAGAACATGATGTAGCTGTTGAAGGACCATCCTCAATTAGTGAGGTAGAGAAGTTACTCAATATAAAAGGTCTAATTAAAGTTAGATGGTGTAAACAATGTTTTGTTAACAGCTACCAATTAGCAGATTTAATACCTATCTTTGTTTTCTTTAGCTAAGTACAAATACTATGAAGGGTTTAAAAATGAATAGTTTCCAATTGCTAATAAAAACAAAAAGCTGAGGTCTGTCTTTGTATAGTTTCTGTATCTGGAGTGATGCCACAGTATGTTCTAATCAAGTAGAAAATGACTAGGGTGCATAAAGGAAAAACGAACTGTTTTATTCCAAAATAATACAAAATATATTTCAATATATTCTAAAAATGAATGAAAATTGTTTATTTTTTTAGATGTAAAGAAGAAAGATGAAGAAACGACACAAGACCAATTGGAAAAGCCCCCTAATGAAGACAAATGAAGGCTCATAACCTATCAAGAGTGCTGAATTTCTGCACATTGAAAGACTTAATGGCTCTGCTTTCCTGAGGTGTTTGATCTGGTAGTAACTATGGTAACATTGCCGCCCTAAGCAACATGTGTGTTTTTAGATAATTTTATTGTGATGCTATTCATTTGGATTGCAACCGTGATGTCCAATATAGGTTATTAAAAGGCAGATTACTTTCAAATTGCACCCAAGGAAAAGGTTAAGAATGTATGGTCACTTAAATACATACCTTTGTCTATAAACCAAACAAACTATACTGTTCTCTTTTAGATTTATTTAGTCAGGTCTGTTTTTTATTCCATTTTTATGGTAATAGATAAAACATTTCTCAGTAAATATAAACTGAACACCATTAATTTAAAACTTCATGGTATTTGTAGGAAATTATATTTCTTGGATAGAAGGAATAATGGAATAGTCGAAAACACATGAATAGAGTGTTTATTTTTAACCAAAAAATTTCACCACAAACCCTAAAAAAAATTGGAAAAAAAATTGTAAAATCTTGACAACCTAAACACCTCTAGGATGTTTTTGCTTGATATACATTGCTTCTAGTCTATGCAGACTGTGATTTTTCATGTAGACTTTTAAAATACAAAATCTGTGGCAAATTATTTATATGTAACATACCTACTAAATGATTTTACTACCTTCCTTACCTTTGGTGTTGTATGTGTGTGGGTATACTTTTCTTTAATGTGAATTATGCAAACACCTTACTAGTTGCTTTACACTGTCTTTTCTTATTCTTAGGGCTTTTGTGTATATATGACTTGTTTCTAAAATAATAATTTCCTCAGGAGTGCAGACCTTGATTTTTATATCTTTCCTAAAGTATCTAACATAAGAGTAAGCACTTAAATATTTGGTGAATGATGTGTAGGGAGGAATAGCAAAATACTTGCTTTTAATATATATATATATAATTATATATTTTAAAAGGAACAAAACCAAAACCAAAGCCTTAGTAAATTTTGATTTAGTAGGTATTTCAGGAAAATAATACAATTCTAAATTAAAAATAAAATTTACTGAGTTTATTTTCATTTTCAGATATATATGCATGCAGTTTTATTTGATTTGATTGTAACTGAGGCCATGTCTGTATACAGTAATCAAATAAACTCTTTCACTGTTAAATCTGTTACTGACACAAGTCTCCATTATCTTCTAAAGTATACCAGGTGAAAATGGCAACATGTTTTATAGACGGAAGCTAATAGTTTTTGCCATATAAAACACCTCTTGCTTATTATTTTATTGGTGAAGTTTACCTTTATATCTAATATACACCAAAGATAGGTAGATTTCAAAGAACCTGATTGTTATAAGTTCTCAAATACAAAATTTTCTTTATGAAATAAAAGTAATATTTTAGGTGTAGCACTAATTTAATATTCAATAACATATGTTAGAGCCATTAAAATGTTACTTCTGCATTATTTAATGACGTGACATTATATCATCAGTATATAGAAAGGTTAGAGTAGAGCAGTGGTTTTCAACCTGGGGGGAGTGGCAATTTTGCTTCCTAAGGGATATTTGGCAACATCTGGAGACATGTTTGGCTCCTACCAGTAGGGTCAGGGACCAGGGGAGAAGGCGCTGCTGGCATCTAGTTGGCAGAGGCAGGGGTGCTGTTAAACCGTTAAGCATCCTGCCAGCCTCCAGGGCAGGCCCTCACAACAAAGAATTATCTGGCCATGTGTGTCAGTAGTGCTGAGGCTGAGAAGCCCAGGAGTAGAGTTAAATTGTCAAGCATGTGGATTTTTGGATTCAGATGACCAGGGTTTGAATTCTAGCTCTGCCACTCCCGAGCTGTATAATCTTGGGCGATTTACATCATATCTCTAAGTCTCAGTTTTATCCTCTTGGAATGGTATTAATAGTAGTATACACTCCATAGGGCTAGTGGAAGTAGTAAATGAGATAGTACAGCAGGTCCTCCAATAAGGTTTTTTATTTTTTATTTCTTTTATTAGTTTCAGGTGTACGAAGCAACATAATAGTTAGACATTTAAACCCCTCATAAAGTGATAACCCATCCCCCAAGCTACTACCCCTCTGACATCTTATATAGCTCTTACGGTACCATTGACTATCTTCCCTATGTTGTACTCCACACCCCATGACTATATATACCTATATATTTAGTTAGAGTTGACATTCAATATTATTCAGCTTCAGCTTCAGGTGTATAGCGCATTAGTCAGGCATCTACAGTCTATGACGTGATCCCCCTGATAAGTCCAGTGCCCATCTGGCACCTCATATGATCTTTAAAACATTGTTGATTATATTCTCCATATTGTATTAACTACCAATTTGTATTTCTTAATGCCTTCACTTTTTTCACCCTATCCCCAACCTCGTTGCCATCTATCACTCTGATAGATGTAGCACCTATCTGGCACCATACATAGTTATTACAATATTATTGACTATATTCCTTATGCTATACTGTACATCCCCATGACTACTGTATAACAACCAACTAGTACGTCTTAATACCTTCCCCTTTCACCCATCCTTAATCCCCCTCCCATTTTAAAGAAGTCCCTCTAAGATTCTTTGTAATACTGGTTAGGTGGTGATGAACTCCTTCAGCTTTTTCTTGTCTGGGAAACTCCTTATTGGTCCTTCAATTCTAAATGACAGCCTTGCTGGGTAGAGCAATCTTGGTTTTATGTCATTGCTTTTCATTACTTGGAATATTTCCTGCTTCTCCTTCCTTGCCTGCAAAATTTCTGTTTGAGAAATCACCTGACAGTCTTACAGGGGTTCCCTTATAGGTAACTAACTGCTTTTCTCTTGCTGCTTTTAAGATCTCTTTTTGTCTTTAACCTTTGACATTTTAATTATGATGTGTCTTGGTGTTGGCCTCTTTGGGTTCATCTTGTTTGGGATTCTCTGTGCTTCCTGGGCTTGTATGTCTATTTCCTTCACCAGGTTAGGGAAGTTTTCTGTCATTATTTCTTCAAATAGATTTTCAATACCTTGTTCTCTCTTTTCTCCTTCTGATACCCCTATAAGGTGAATGTTAGTATGCTTCATATTGTCCTTGAGGCCTCTTAAACTCTCCTCAATTTTTTGGATTATTATTTTCTTTCTGCTATTTTGGTTGGCTGTTTTCTGCTACCTTATCGTCTACATTGCTGGTTGGATCCTCTGCTTTATCTATCTACTGTTGATTCCCTGTAATATATTCTTCATTTCCATTATTGTATCCTTTATTTTATGCATGTTTATGCTTCCTATCTCTCTGTCAAAGTTCTCCCTGAAATCATTGAGCATTCTTATAACCAGTTTTTGAAACTCTGCATCTGATAGATTGCTTATCTCCATTTTGCTTAGTTCTTTTTCTGAAGCTGTGTTCTGTTCTTTTATTAGGGACATGTTTCTTTGTCTCCCCCTATTGGCTGCCTCCCTGTGTTTGTTTCTATATATTAGGTAAGGCTGCTATGTCTTCTAGTCTTAGTTACGTGGTCTTATATAATAGGTGTGCTGAGGGGTTCAGTGGTGCAGTCTTTCTAGTCACCTGAGCCTCACGCTCCAGGTGTGTCCCTTGTGTGCGTTGTGTGTGCCCTCCTCTTATAGTTGAGTCTTGGTTGATAAATGCACATCAATGGGAGGAACTGACCCTTGGGCTCACTGGTTGTGAGGACTGGCCTTGACTACAGTGGAAGTGTTGTCGTGCAGGGCCTGACCCTTTGGAGCAGGATCTGCCTCAACAGGACTCTGGTGCCTGCCCAATCTGCCCCTTGGGTGTGTTGTTCTAGGGAGTGGTTGGATAATGCTCCAGCTCGTTTTGAAGCTGGCCATTGGGGGCACCAGCCCCAGGACCACCTTGGAGGGGATCTGCTGTAGGTCTAGTTCAGCCACAGCCCATGCCACACCCAGGGCCACCCAGCGGGAGCCAGAAAGAAATCCACAGATTGCTGCTGTGCTGTGCTTGGAAGCACCTTGAGAGGGCCAATCCACACATCAAGGCCAGCTGCCGCTAGTGCTGAGCTTAGGGCTGCTCAGCCAGAGGCACAGGATACGCTCAAGCCAGATGCTGCTTGTCTGGGTTCCGTGAACTTTTGAGAGATCCTAGGAAAGTGCAGCTTGAGCCAAGGCAGGTGGTCTGCATGAAAAAACCACAGAAAGCAGCTTGGGTGTGCTTGGAAGTGGGGCGAGGCCAGGTCTCAAATCACCAGGGCCGGTGAACAAACGGTGGAGACTCAGCAATGGTGGCCACCTGTGTTTGCTCACCGGAAAGGGGGAGGACTCAACAAAGACACAATGGCCTCTGCCAGCTCCCCCGTCCAGGAGAAAGTCGCCCCTCCACCCTCTGTCCCAAGCCAGACAACTCAATTCCCCACCATTTGTCCCTGCCTCCTTTACAGCTGCTGCCCCAGCGCTGGAGCTCAGAGCTAGTGATTCTGTTGGTGGGTAAGTCTGAGCACAGTCCCTTTAAGAGGGGCGCCTGGGCGTGCAGCCACACTCAGTCTCATTCAGTCACAATCTCTGCTGGTTTTCACAACCAGAATTTATGGGGACTTCTTTCCCTGGCATTGGAACCCCGAGCTGGAATTTCTTGCTCCTCTAGGGGATGGGTTGGGGGGACCCCCACAGCCGAAATAGTTCTCCCAATCTTTAATAGTCACAGGCGGGTATGGGACAAGCCCGTTTCGTATCTTTGACCTTCTTACCAGTCTGGAGGTGGCTTCTTTTGCATGTCCCTAGTTGAAAGGCTTCAGTTCATCTTGATTTTAGGTGATTCTCAATAATGGTTCTTTTGTAGATTAGTTGTAATTTTGATGTGGTTGTGAGAGAAGGTACACAGCGTTTACCAACTGTGCCATCTTGGTTGCCTCCCCCCAGTAAGGTCGTTTTGTTCAATGTTGTTTTGTTATAATGTTAATGAGGAAACATAATCAATTCTGGCTGGGGCCACTGCCTGTGTGGAGTTGGCATGTTTCTCCCCGCATCCACGTGGGTTTTCTCCAGGTACTCTGGCTTCTTCCCATATCCCAAAGATGTGCATGTTAGGTGAACTGGCATGTAATTGTCCCAATCTGCGTGAGTGTGTGTGTAAGTGTGTGTGTACCCTGTGATGGAAGGGCGTCCTGTCCAGGGTGGGTTCTCATCTTGTTCCCTGAACTGCTGGGATAAGTCCCATCCATTTGCGACCCTGAACTGGAATTAATGGGTTGAAAAATAATTATCTTACTTGTTTTTATTAATCTTGCTTAAGTTTATGTATAGCTCACATTTATTTCAGTGTTGAATATGATAAGTGTTCTGGATCTTGAATTAGAAGCTTGGTGATGTTTTTGTGACCAAAAATATGCCTAAAGAACTTAAGTCTTGTTTATATCAATTAGTCTTAGAATTTTAGTTTTGTTATACATCATTTTGCTTAAAGTTGCAGTTTCCAGGAACCTACTGACATGTTAAGTGAGGACCTACTGTATATGTTAAATACTTGACTAATGCCTACCAAAAAACAATTATTCAACAAATACTAGCTATTATCACCATCATTTTTATTCCAGATGCTTTTGCCATTATTCTCTGGTAGTGAAGGTGGTGGGCAGCTGGATTTGTTAATTTGGCTATCTTCTGTCTTCCTATGCGATTTCACAAACATCTCTAATTCATGGGGCTGGGAGAAGACACTATGCTGGAAATTGACAGTTCTTGGTAATTATTACATTAGTGCCCATTCAGTCATGCTAATGAGCTGCTGATAGGTGATAAGTATTACCATTGAACAATGAGTCACCTCACTAGTGTTTTATGACAATTATTGCAACAAAACAAAATTTTGAGTCGGTACCTAAATGAGTATCTTGTTCCATGAAAATGTAAAAGAAAAAAGAGCAACGTAGCTCATGGGTCATAGTATTATATCGTATTTATTTCTCATTTAGAAGACCAGAAATGAAGCCATGGTCATCCTCATTGCTAGGAATGACATATTCTGAATGATGTATATATTAAATAACTTATTCATCACAATGTACACATATTCTATTATATACATTGTATACATATTTATAAGTATTTTGTATTACACAGGTATCAAATGTGTTGAATATTTGCCAACAGAAGGGGATTTTCTTTTCTGAGAAGGAATCCAGACAAAGGGGATTGAGAG